TTTTTTAAGGTGTCAAATTTCTATTGGTTAAATGCAATTGTACCGAAACCTCCGCGTGTGGCTGGCTAACGTGCATTTTATCTCATTCTCTAACTAACCTGCGTATGCCCCTCTTTCTATATATCTGCACATACTCTCTCTCTCTCTCTCTCTCTCATTCACATCCTCACACACTCTCTCTCTCATTCTTATACATCTGAAGCTCAACTCTCTTTATCATGACCTTTTACGCACCCTCCTCCCTAGTGGAGCTGAAGAACGCTTTTGAGGTTCTGCGGGTGGACGACGATGACGACGACGAAGCTCCTCCTCCTCCTCAGGAGAACGACGAAGAAAATGGAGATAACACTCTCTTCTGGTGAACCACGAAGGCGCTCTTCCTCCTCAGGTGCAGGCGCTCCTGCTCTTGGTCCAGATCCAGTGGTGAAATGGCAGGTGGTTGAACATGTGTCTCTGGGCATGTTCTTTACTTATGATCCGACCAAGTAGACATGGTTTTAAATTTAATACCTTTTAATTTAAAAGGTATTAAATTAAATTGCCCGATTTAATTTAATACATTTTTTTTTTTTTTTACAAATGTCAAATCTCTATTGGTTAAATGGATTCGTATCGAAACCACCACGTGCGGCTAACATGCGCTTTATCTCAATCTCTAAATAACCTGTGCATGCCCTTCTTTCTATATATATATATACACACATCCTCTCTCTTTCTCATTCACATCCTCACTCTCTCTCTCATTCTTATACACATCCTCTCTCTTTCTCATTCACATCCTCTTTCTACGGGTGGATGAGGACGAGGATGACGACGAAGACAAATCTCCTGATAATGTTCATCCTCCGGTGAACCATGAAGGCGCTCCTCCTCCTCAAGTGCAGGTGCTTCTGTTCCAGATCCAGTGGTGGACTGGCAGGTGGTTGAACATGTGTCTCCGGACATGTTCTTTGCTTCCGATCCGACCAAGTAGACATGGTTGTAGACTTGTAGCTTAAGATCGGATGGCGGATGGACTAGACATGGTTATATGTCTTTATCTTTTCTTTGGTAAGTTATATGTCTTTACGGTTTGTTTTTTTTTTTTTTTTTTATTTTATTTTTTTTTTTTATTTTAGGTATGGCAGGTTCGTAGTTTACAATATTTGTTCAATTTATGATAGATTTAAAGTTTTAATTTGTATTTGTTTAATTTATGAAATAATAGTGTTTACCATTTGAAAAACTAATCTGATTGTATAACTTTTATCTCGCTATATCAAACATTTATTTCACAGAATTCTACTTTTATCTCATTGTATCCAACTTTTATCTTACCCTTCTATTATCTAATGATGAAAATTATTGTGAGTGTCTTGTCCAATTTATACCATCACTCAGTATGAAGTACAACCTGAAGATGATTCCACTGTAGACTATATAAGTCCAATTTTCTTTTTTAAAAAATAAAAATCACTTGTAGGGTTATTTTAGAGTTCAATTGCACATTCTCTATATTCCTCTTATCCAAGTACCAGTATCCAAAAGAACAAATTAACGATCAATGGTTGCGCGCGGGAGCGAGATTTACCGCATCACAACTTTTATGTACATAAAAATCTGATAATCATAACATTGAGCTCAGTGAAAATAACAATATATGTGTATCATTAGTTCTGTACATTCAACTTGTAAATTGTTGAGTAAAAGCACCTACTAGATTCTAAGTTTGAAGTTCATATACAGAATATTTAAGTTGAACTGTCATTTTTGACATGTATTAAGCAAATGCAATGCATCAATTCTATAGAAGAGTAGTCAGATTGTAACAGGGGAAAAAATGGGAACCAATTTTGAAGACACAAAACTATAAGCTTTTAGTATGAACATTATAAAATTAAGCAGAACATTTATGCCTGTCAAAGAATTTTTTTTCTAAAATACCAAAAGTAACTCAAGTACGATTATAAAATGAAAAGAAAGATCCATTTACCTCCAAAGATCCATTAATAAAATGAAAAGAAAAAAGAAAGGACAACATCTTAGCATTTTATCAAACGAATTGTGCAGAGAAAGATTCCAACCCGTTCCCTGAATAAAGGCTTCGTTTTTCGTTATTTGATCAATGTTTTTCTTCAAATTGCTTTGCAGATGATCCTCAGAACCAAGAATGTCTACAGCTTCATTAGCAGAAATCATCTCGGCATTGAAGTCATCTGTGCCACTAGCAGCAAAGATAGGTATGTATGTATATCAAAATTAAGCTACTGATAGAGAGGAAAAAAAATAGGTTATACCTGAAAATTACCCGATTTAATTTAATACCTTTTTTTTTTTTTTGACAGGTGTCAAATCTCTATTGGTTAAATGGATTCGTACCGAAACCTTCGCGTGCGACTAACGTGCGCTTTATCTCATTCTCTAACTAACCTGCGCATGCCACTCTTTATATATATATATACACATCATCTCTCTCTCTTATTCACATCCTCACACTCTCTCTCATTCTTATACATCTGAAGCTCAACTCTCTCTGTCATGGCCTTTTACGCACACTCCTCCCTAGTAGAACTGAAGAACGCTTTCGAGGTTCTGCGGGTGGACGACGATGACGAAGTAGATATGGTTTTAAATTTAATACATTTTAATTTAAAAGGTATTAAATTAAATTGCCCAATTTAATTTAATACCTTTTAAATTAAAATGTATTAAATTTAAAACCATATCTACTTCGTCATCGTCGTTCTCTATTGGTATATGGATTCGAACCGAAACCTCCACGTGCGGCAAATGTGCGTTTTATCTCACTCTCTAACTAACCTGCGCATGCCCCTATTTTTTTTATATATATACACATCCTCTCTTTCTCATTCACATCCTCATTCTCTCTCTCACATTCTTATACATCTAAAGCTCAACTCTCTCTGTAATAGCCTTTTACACACCGTCCTCCCCTGTGGAATTGAAGAACTCTTTTGAGGTTCTGCGGGTGAACGACGATGACGATGACGAAGCTCCTCCTCCTCCTCCTCAAGAAACGACAAAGAAGACGAAGATGACGCTCCTCCTCCGGTGAACCACGAAGGCGCTCCTCCTCCTCAGGTGCTGGTGCAGGTGCTCCTGGTTTAAATCTAGTGGTGAACTGGCAAGTGGTTGAACATGTGCATCCGGGCATGTTCTTTACTTACGATCTAACTAAGTAAACATGGTTTTAAATTTAATACCTTTAAAATTAAAATGTATTAAATTAAATTGCCCGATTTAATTTAATACTTTTTTTATTTTTTTTATTTTTTTTACAGGCGTCAAATCTCTATTGGTTAAATGGATCGTACCGAAACCTCAGCGTGCGGATAACGTGCGTTTTATCTCCCTCTTTAACTAACATGCGCATGCCCCTCTTTATATATATACACACACATTCTCTCTCTCTCATTCACATCATCACACACACTCTCTCATTCTTATACATCTGAAGCTCAACTCTCCCTCTCTCATGGCCTTTTACGCACCCTCCTCCCCAGTGGAACTGAAGAACGCTTTCGAGCTTCTGCTGATAGACGATGATGACGACGAAGCTTCTCCTTCTCCTCAGGAGAACGACAAAGATGACGTTCCTCCTCCAGTGAACCACGAAGGCGCTCCTCCTCCTCATGTGCTCTTGCTCTTGGTCCAAATCCAGTAGTGAACTGGCATACGGTTGAACGTGTGTCTCCGGACATGTTCTTTGTTTACGATCCGACCAGGTAGACATGATTGTAGACTCGTAGCTTAAGATCGGACGGCGGATCTACTAGACATGGTTATATGTCTCTATGTTTTATTTGGTAATTTTATATGGCTTTTCGTTTTTTTTTTTTAGATATGGTAGGTTCGTAGTTTACAATCCGACAGCCAAGTAGACATGATGATGGACTTGTAGCTTAAGATCGGACGGCGGACTAGACATGGTTATATGTCTTTATGTTTTCTTTGGTAATTATATATGTCTTTATGCTAGGACTTATCCCTTCCTCTCTTTAATTGACTCTGTTGACTATGAAAGAGCCTCTCAAAATTTGATGATGAGGTGGTTGTAATAATAAGCTGCAGCTTTTTCCATGCAAAATTGGCAGCTAGTGCAGGTTAATTATATGGTACTATATATATATATATATATATATATATATATATATATATATATGGGCATTGTTAATATTAATAAACATGTTTATGTTGGGTTAAATACTTAATCAAGTGACCTTTAATAATTAGAGATATATTAAGTAGATTCATTCTCAAAAATGTGGTACAAAAAAGAAAAAGATATTAGTAAATTAGGCTCAATTAAAATACGAGAGTTGCACTACGATAAGTCTTCTCTCTCTCATTCACATCCTCACTCTCTCTCTCACATTCTTATATATCTGAACCTTAACTCTCTCTGTCATAGCCTTTTATGCACCCTCTTCCCCTGTGGAACTGAAGAACGCTTTTGAGGTTCTGCGGGTGGACGACGACGATGATAACGAAGCTCCTCCTCCTCCTCCTCCTCAAGAAACGACGAAGAAGACGAAGATGACGCTCCTCTTCCGGTGAACCACGAAGGCGCTCCTCCTCCTCAGGTGCTGGTGCAGGTGTTCCTGGTTTAGATCCAGTGGTGAATTGGCAAGGGGTTGAACATGTGTATCTGGGCATGTTCTTTACTTACGATCCGACTAAGTAGACATGGTTTTAAATTTAATACCTTTTAAATTAAAATGTATTAAATTAAATTAACCGATTTAATTTAATACCCATTTTTTTTTTTTTTTACAGGTGTCAAATCTCTATTGGTTAAATGGATTGTACCGAAACCTCCGCGTGTGGATAACGTGCGTTTTATCTAACTCTTTAACTAACCTGCGCATGCCCCTCTTTCTATATATACACACACATTCTTTCTCTCTCATTCACATCATCACTCTCTCTCTCTCTCACATTCACATCCTCACTCACTCTCTCTCTCATTCTTATACATCTAAAGCTCAACTCTCTCTGTCATGACTTTTTACGCACCCTCCTCCCCAGTGGAACTGGAGAACGCTTTCGAGGTTTTACTGATGGACGATGATGACGACGAAACTTCTCATTCTCCTCAGGAGAACGACGAAGAAGACGAAGATGACGTTCCTCCTCCGGTGAACCACGAAGGCGCTCCTCCTCCTCAGGTGCTCTTGCTCTTGGTCCAGATCCAGTGGTGAACTGACATGTGGTTGAACATGTATCTCCGGACATGTTCTTTGTTTACGATCCGACCAGGTAGACATGGTTGTAGACTTGTAGCTTCAGATCGGACGATGGATTGAATAGACATGGTTATATGTCTCTATGTTTTATTTGGTAATTTTATATGTCTTTACGTTTTTTTTTTTATTTTAGGTATGGCAGGTTCGTAGTTTACAATCCGACAGCTAAGTAGACATGATTATAGACTTGTAGCTTAAGATCGGATGGCAGATTAGACATGGTTATATGTCTTTATGTTTTCTTTGGTAATAGTATATGTCTTTATGTTGGGACTTGTCCCTTCCTCTCTTTAATTGACTCTGTTGACTATGAGAGAGCCTCTCAAAATTTGATGATGAGGTGGCTGTAATAATAAGTTGCAGTTTTTTCCATGCAAATTTGGCAGCTAGTGCAGGTTAATTATATGGTACTATATATATATATATATATATATATATATATATATATATTCAAAGTGGATTATATATATATATTAATTTTACTTTTTTAATAGCTCTTTTCTCTTAGCTACAATATATTTAAATATTGTTAACTAACAAAACAAAAGATTTATTTTTTCCAAGTTTGTGTCCATTAATTTTCCTTCTTCAACAACATCCTGGCTCTGGCGCTTACAGTTGCCCACTTTTGGAAAGATATTTGGCCCCTGGATTGCAATCAAACTAAGAAATGGAGCGATATGTTTTATCACACAACAGTTGGGTGAAACTTTAACTCCTCACCCTGTAGGTGACAATTTAGCATTTGCTTTGATTGTTTGAAGGAGCTTGAAAGAAAGACAACAAATGACCCCTAAATAAAAGAGGCCAGGAAAGCACCATTGTGTTTATTTGTCTCTCTATGTGGTGTTGGTTAAGAACAATTTAAGGAAAATTAAGAACAAATTATTATGAATATCTTTCTTTAAGGAGAATATATATATATATATATATGCATAATGTGCATAGAAAATGTTTGTTCCGTTATGTAAGTTGAAAAACATTATGTGTGGAGACTAGTATGAATAGAACAATGTAAAAACTTTTGTTAGAAATTTCAAGAAAAAAATGTGTAATTTGTGTTTGTTTTCCCTCTAGTTTCTCGAAATGCGCAAGTAAGTTTCTGGTTGCTATCACCCTGGTATAACTTGTTTTTAATAAAACAGCTGTATTAAGTGAAGAAACATGGTGTCCATTACATAATGATGAAAAGTCAGGGATTGATCTATGTTAGGGCTAAGGATAGCCATGGCTTCCCTGATATTTTAAAAGCCCTACAGGAGGTCCGCCCCCCCCCCCCCCCCCAATTTTTTATTTTTTTTTTAAATTTTGCATACTAGGCACAACCTTATAAAGTTCAAATGACAGCCCAACATTGTGTCCATGCTTGAGAAATTGAGAATTTTATGTAACTTTGCTGTGAAGAAAATAAAATTTATAAGGAGAATGTCTGCTCTTTTTTATTTATTTTTATTGAATATTTGGTTATATTGTCTTAATTGTTTTTATATCTAGTATAAATTTTGTTGATGATGAATTTTACATAACCTTGCAAGTTTTTGTTTATATTAAAATTGAAATAACTTTCATATAATATAGTGTTGTGCAGAAATTGACACTTACCGCTAGAAATTTGTTAGTGTATAATCCTTTACCACTGACGTTAACGCGAGGCTTGCAACTGAAAATGACCCACTAGTACTTTCTATGCCCATCTGTTCTATTGATCCAATATTTTCTGTATAGTATACATATATATTGGCCTCCCTAGGGATAAATTCCTGGCTCTGCCTGTGTAGAGGGGTTGTGGATGATTGATAGAGACTTAAGAGCTACCACCATTTGAGATTCTGAGATGAGGTGAAATTGGTTGTGACAATTTGGCTATGTGAGCAAAACCCAAGTTCTGCCTTTGTAAGTGGTGATATGATTCATGTTAAAGATGCTATGAGGGGTTGTTAGTTTATTCCAATGTATGACTCCTGTTTACAATTATTAGAATGTCAAGTTACATTTTGGATAAGAATTCTCGAGTCTTAAGCTTAAGGACCTTATGAAGACATAGTTTCAGTGCGTAACTTACATTTTTAGATGTATGCTGTTGTGTTAAACTGGTACTGAAAAATCATTGCATCCTGTGTATTACATAATCCTTTTCTGAAATTGGGAGGTTGCTTCTTTTTTATTTTGATCTGCAAATGTTAGGTTAAATTTATTTATTTTTGGTTAAGTTTTATTTCAACATATTATTATGTCATTTGAGGCTCTTTTCTTTTCTGTTTTTTTTTTCTTCCCCATTTTGTACTAAAATTTTCTGCTTCAGTGTAGAGAACTAATTCTCCTCCACCAACTTGTTTACTAGGTGCAATGTGGAGTGATGGGCAGTCTTGAACCTCCTTGCAATGCAGTAGGCTTAATTGATCGATATTTTCTTGGTGAACATCATCTTTATCATCGATACTTTCTTGGTGCATCGATATTTTCTTGGTGAACATCATCTTTATCAACATCCTGTGTACAGAAGAACAAAGGTGCTCAGAATCTTCTCTGATGACTGCTGTCTTTTCTGTATTTAAATCTTAAAACTCTTTTGCTGTTCTTTGTATAGGTGACCTTCCTCATGTTTATAGGAATGCAGTGTCAATTCTCCTGATTATGGACCTCTACTACCAACTTCACCTCAGTGGTGCCTTGCTCCATTTGATCCAGAGGGCATCTTAAGGTCTGCTAACTGTCTGCCTTTTTTTTCTCTTGATATTTCCATGTTGTCAACTATTATTATTGTTGTATTTTTATTTGTAAGAGTGGAAAATCCTTAAAGAATAAGAGAGTGGGTTTTCATCTGTCTCAGTACTAGGTATTTCAGCTGTATACTATCTATTTGGTGCTGCCCAAGTAGGTGGATAATCAAAAACCAAGGCCTTTATCTTGACTATAGACTCCTTTTAGCTGACTTCAACATGAAATATGGTTCTATTTTTTCTTTGAAATTCCCATTAATTTGCCTAAGGGAACAAGCTGTGAAAGACCATTGCTTTGCTGCTCTACTCCACTAGCATTGAGAAGCTAACTACAAATGTACCTTGCCACTATATCTGACATGTTTCCTGCTCCATTTGACGAGAGGGAATCAATTTATGCCATAATGATCCACCACAAATCTTGAATGTTATCATTGTTTGTTACTTATTCATCTAAGGGCCACAATGAATCTTGAATGGTAAATTAATTCTTCAATGTAAGAAATCTATGGCATAATATTAGGTTTTTTCCATGACATTTGCAAGTTGTTTTCCATGAATTTGCTAGTGTATTGATTATATACTTTCATCTATGTGTGATCATATTAGAGAAAGATAATTCAAGCTTTTTATCTTTGATTTGATAGACGTTGAAACTATAAATTTTGAAAAAATATAAGCTTGGAGGCTGGAAAAAGTAAACACATGTCACAATGAGGTGGTGTTTTGGGCAAGTGGAATCAGTTTTAGGAGCTGAAGTGTGCTTAGAAGTTTACAATTTACAATTCCAATTCCAAATTTATTAATAGTTGGCACCATGGGGGTCTGATAAAATATTAGAAGCCAACTTAAATGCACATTGGGGCAGGTATTTGGTCCTTGTAAATAATCTACCTCAATCCTTATAATCCGACAATAGAACATTTCAGAAATGACATTAAGCATGTTCATTTTCCTATCATGCAATGTTGAAAATAAACAAGATCACAGTACCAACATTAACGTTTGATGTAATGGATGATGTCCATCTCAGTTCGACCATAGAACATTTCAGAAATGTCATTAAGCGAGTTCATTTCCCTATCATGTACTGTTCAAATTAACAAGATCACAGTACCAACATTAACGTTTGATGTAATGGATGATGTCTGTCTCTGTCAGCTGTTATATGAACATACTGCAAAGAAGAAGATTCTGGGATCTTCATCCTAAGTGGCAAATTCTCTATGATGATTTATGCCAGAAAAACACCTACGTTTATCTCCCACATAAAGCACATTTACTTCATGAATTCTGCAGAAGCTTTCACGATCCCTTTACACAGTTGCATCATTTCCGTGGCCACATCTACATCTGCATACTTATCCACCCCCTCTATTCTCCCATTTAATATGTTTAAGTGGGTTTGTTCAACGAGACAAAATACAAATAACAAAAGTCATCCTCTTTAGGTACACTAATGAGTAATGACCAATCGATTTTAGTTACAAAGTGATCATTAAACTTATTCCTCATGCCACTCTACAGAAAGCCCACTCTAGGTCTTGCATTGTAAGATAAAGTGAGTCTATGTAGGGTGACAAATCATATTATTAGTATTGACCATTCGTTTTTGGGGGATTAATATCTAATGTGCACACATTGTCTTATTTACTGAAGTGGCATGCTTCTCCTTTCCTAAGATTTTTGTGGGTTATTAAACTTGATATTAGTTTATTGTATTGTTATCTAGGATAATCAAGGTACACTTAAAAACATTTTCTTCTGTTTCCTGATGTACACAGGCAGAGTTAGTCTCAGAAAATATTGTTTCTATAATCTCATAGCTAGGTTCTCTTGTGAAATTTCTCATTTCATTTTGAAAAATTTCTCTAGTTCATTGATGGCGGCCATTACGTGTTTTGTGGGACTGCAATGTGGACACATTGCTCTTCATTTTAAGGTATTATAATTCTTTCTTTTCGCTTAACATATTCTATAACAGGAATTGCTTCTCAAGTCTTTTCTTAAAGGTCATTACCTAGTGTTGGCGTAGCCAATGCGGAGTGTTGAGATGTCTGACTAGACGCAGACAAACTTTTGACATTAGCATTCTCACTCTTGACAGCCCAGAAATTGTACATTGCATCAACCAATGGCGCACCTAATCTTGAGTTTATTAATTTTGTTCTTTTCACTGCAGGGCAACATGCAGAGGGTATTTTTGTGGTCTCTGTCTTCCTTTCCTCTACTGATCTTGGGATATGTCTTAGATGTCCTTGGTATACTGTTTTATGTCAGCATCTGTTTTGCGGTATAATATCTTACGAAGTTTCATTTGCACTCCTCTAAACAATGGCTACGTTGTGTGCTTGACCGTTTAGGTGTTCCTTTTTCCAAACCACTGTACACATTGAGCTATATGTGCATCACGGCAGGAACATCAGGATTCCTCTTAACCATTATCTTTTACATCGTAAGCTTATTCTTTTACACACTAGTATTTTTCGTAATAATAAGACTTCTGCATAGTAATTTATTTCACTAATCAAGAAATATCTGATTTATTTAAGTGTCTAAATTAATCTTTTTGTATTTCTCTCATAAACTCGAGCTTCTCAACGAACCAGTCATAAAAATATGTTAAATGGAGTAGCACACTTTTTCTAATGAAGATGCTATTACTTTGGGGGAAAAATATAAGACATTTTCTTTTATCCATGCTGAACTATCTTTTATTCAATCATATTTTTGTGCTTTCTTTATAGTGTTAACAACACAGTACATTTCTAACATAAGTAGGTCAATAACTCTTATTTAAGCGTTAAGCTGCTTCTGCTGAAATTTAACAAATCACAAAACTAGGTTTTTAATATAAAACCATGGTATTATCATTTCTTTCTCGTACAAATGTAAATATAAGTTAAAGGATGTGGGAATTCTATGCTGCTGCTTTGTTTTGTTTTGGAGGTGGCAGGGGGAGAAAGGAAAGAAAACATATTACGATTGTTATCCAATCAGCTTTTTCTGCTTTATGGTTTAACGACTGGTGCTATAGCAGCAAGACAGCTTTCCGGCCACTTTTGGTCGAACTCAAAACTCGGATGCAAAAGTGTTGGAAGTGGAATTAGAATTACCTTGGTTGCAAAAATTGACTTTCTTCCCTGCATAAACTAAGATCTTGCAAGAATTCTTACCAAACAAATACAGAAGGAAAAAACTAAATGGTTGAAATCAAGTTTCTGTGTGCTTATTGCAAAAGGATTTGATGCAGGTTGATGTCAGACATATTGAAAGGCCCACGTAGCTATTGCAATGGATGGGAAAGAATGCTCTCATTATTTATATTTTTGGCTGCTTGAGACCTCTTTCCAGCAGCTCTACAAGGTTTCTATTGGCGTTCACCAGAAAACAACTTTGGTAGCTCCCTCATTTCTCTCCTGCATCACAAGTTTCTATTTTATTACCATCTCTTTATGAAAAATATTTTCTCATTTTCCTGTCATTGACATTTGATCATGCAATTTCTTCTATTCAATACAAACTTATTATATAATACAAGCTGAAAATCTTTAGATCAGTAAGAGACTTGTAAGGAGATATCTACTACAAAAAACTTCTTTGGTCCTAGAAACTACCATTTGTTCGTGCGTGCTTTAGATATTTAGTGTTTGGTTTGCTTGCTGAGATATACGATATGGTGTCCTCTAAAAATAAGGCCGTGAAATGCATTTTCCTTTATCTGACCATGTAAAAGAGTTTATTTATTATTCCACTTCCTCTCAAGTGTAAGCTCCCTTTTGAACGATTTATTCGTTATTAGAAAGCACATTTCCATCTTTGTATTTATTTTCATTATTTTGGAAAAAAGTATTTATTTATTTTTCTTTAAGCCCCATTTGGATGATGTTTAAAATGAAAAGATCGGGCTTCAAATCACAAATTTAATAGAAGATTTGCTATTGTAGAGAAGGATGGTAGATTAGAGGACTTTAGATGAGTGGAAGATATAATTTAGGAGGGCCGATCTATGTGTAATTTGAATCACATTATTGGTGTGAATTTTGACTTCATTTTCTGTAATTATTCTTTAGTGCGGTAGATATGGCCGAGTTACACTTTGTAAACCATGAAACATACAATTAATACAGCCTCCCCTTCTATAAATTATTTATTATCTTCATGTAAAAATGCTTTCATTATAGATATTTGCTTTATCGCTTCATTTGGCGTATGGTATGCAGGTTGACAACACGGAATCAGTATTGCAGTTCATGCTTCATTCAAAGAAGTGGGGAACCCTGGCATTCGTACTGCTCGAGATTTTATTTCGGGGTCTCGTTGCCGGTGTCCTCGACATGAAACGTGTATATTACAGGCTATAGTAGTCGTTACTGACATGCAAATTTGTTTGTTAACACCACCTTCCATAAGACACCAATATTTCACTTGTGTGTTAGATAAGCAGGATAAAAAGAAAAGGAAATGACTAGTTAGAAGAGAAGAAAAAATAGTAGAGGGTAGTGTATTTTGAATTGAAGACTGAAGAATATACATGTTAAAGACTGAAGAGGTTTTGGAAATTCTAGGTAGTGACTTTGAATTATTGGAAAATGTCTATACAAAATTAGAACAAAAAGAACTTGCCGGACTGAGGTCCAGTTAGGTACATCCTTGCTAATTAGGCTAAGCAGAAAGATTATGCACTTTGTTACTGCATGGATAATAGCATTGACAGCCAAGGCTTCTTGCTGCACGTGCATGGACACGGCTATAGGGTAACTTTTAAAAAAAATATGATAGGGGTGTTGGGATATGTCAAAAAATAATAATATAATATATATTATTATATATACAGATAATAAATATGTATATATATTTATATTAATAATTTATATTATTATTTTTAATTAAGCCAAAATATATTTTAGATGGCATTGAATTTCATTTTTCTAAAAAAAATGTAATTACAAAAAATCACCCCATTGTATTCTGAAAGCATTCAAAAAGTATCTTTGCCTGGTCTATCGTGTTCCAGTTGTATCTTACCAGAAAATATATATATATATATATATATATATATATATATTACTATTTAGAATATTTTTAGTCCTATTTGACTTGTGTTGGCTAATATTAGCATTTTCAACGAGTGTCTCATACCGTCATAACATTTTCTTTTTAGAGAAGTACCTACTTCCTAACTTCAAACTGACAATATGTAAAATAAGGAATGTAAGCAACAAAATGGAATCAATATATATATATATAAATATATATATTTTGTCTTTGCAAAGACTTTGTGGGGATTTGAACCCCCATGGGATTAATTTAATAGTAGGAGCAACCATGTAAAGTTTTTCAATGAAGTGATTACATTATTTACAACAAACACAGCCTAGCTAGCGGTCGATGCCATTGGAGGTATGACGTCCCACGTGGTATTTGGTGTCAAAGACGTATACATGTATTGTGAGTCTCACATTGTGTGTTCAATGTTCATGGACTTTTTATGTGGCAAATCTGATTAAATTCTAGCCATTGATATCTCCAATGGCAATTACCATGCTCTCTTAAAATTTTACCATTAAATCCACCATTTTTGATGAGAAATTTTTACATTATTCGGGACTAATTACGCGAGACTATGTATATTATTGTGTTATGTCACCTCAGCTGATTGGCTGAGACATATATAATCCGGACCATGCCATAACTTTTCTTCTTGGAACACTTGCAACCTTCTTGAACTCTTCAACTGTGATGCCACATGTCATGTTAGATCTTCTTCAAACTTCTGACATTTAATTGTTAATTAAAATTTATCAAATTACCAAACCAAGTTAGCCTTCAAGAAAGTCCATAAAACCCCCACTGATACTGTATAGGTGATGCCCCAATCCAATAGAACAGACATAAAAATTTTCAATTTATCTCGACATATGAAAAAATTGAGAATTTTTATGTCTGTCTATTGAGTGGGGTACCATGTGTATAATTACCTTGAGTATTTGTCCGCTAATTAAGTTGTAACGGGATTCGACCATTGTAGAGTCTTAAAGAGTGAAAACACTATAATAATAATAATAACAATAATAATAATAATAAACCCTAACATTTGTCGTATCTGTTTAGGTAAATGGAAATTATCTTTATGAACAAATTTTACCTGGGATAACAGAAAAAGTAATTTTCAACTAGCCTAAGTAATTTTTTTTTTGGTATTGAGTGGTCCCTAACTCACTTTTTTGTTTGTCCAATTTAAAACATATATATACATATATTATCATTCTCTGATCGAGTAGGTGTTAATGCATTTAAAACAATGAAATGTGAATTTTCTTGGAAAAAAATGAATTATTATTATTATTGTGGTGGACAATGGCATAATCTTTTATGAAAAATAATTTTAAAGTTAAATAGTTATAGAGAATTTCATAAACTACTATGTAAAAATGTGCAAAATACAAGGAATTAAGATCTTTATCTTCTTTATATTTCTATCAAACTTAACGTGTGAAGAGTTGCAAGAATGAGAGCACCAAAGTTGACATAATTCTGATTCAAATATAGGGTGCGTTTGTTTCAACATACATTTTCGGGTAAAATATTTTTTTTTTATTTTTACTTATTCGGTATTCGGTAGAGGTCTAGGTCGAGTCCATCCGACGTGTAAAATTACTTATTGAAAATTAATGGATAAATTATATTTATTAGATTTTAATATTTATTTTCTTCGTAAATATTTTATGATAACTGAACATAAAAAATAAAAAATTATTTTTTTAAAAAATATTTTACACCCAAACGGAGCCACAATGATCTCAGGAAGTCACCTAATTAAAGGAATTAGGTGGCTCCATCAAACTCTTCTAGTTTGAGTATCACTGTTCTAACTTTATAAAGCCAGCAAGCAACCCCTCCATTCATTTTTTATTTTTATTTATTATTATTATTATTATTTTTCCCTAGCAACACCAACCCACAAGCAAACAAAAATTACACCGTACCACCTACAACATCCAACTCTAAAAGCTTAAAGATAGACAATGGTAGAAAATGAAGTACCAAATCCATATTCATCGCCCGCAGTGAAAGCTTGGCAAGAGCATTTGCCACTTTGTTTCCTTGCCTTCAAACATGCGAAATGGAAAACCTCGAAAGAGATTCCAGTTCCCGTCTGATTTCCGTAATCAAAGAAGCAAGTGAAACCTTCGGACAAGCAAAACCCTCAATAGCCTCCACCGTGCTTTTACAATCTGATTCAAACTAGACCACCTGAAAGTGAATTGCTGGGCCCAAAAAACTGCTAGGCAAAAACACAACAATTCTGAATGAAACACAGAGGATGACGCAAAAGGTTGAAAAATCACCGCTTGAAGAACCACTCCATTCATTTGAATCACTTGTATGTATGGCGAGTACAAGTTGTTCCACGTTTCCTATATCCAAACACCACTTCCCTCTCTCGTATTCCTCAACCCCAACAACAATGATCTTCTCCTCACCCAGGGCCGGGCCCAAGGCAACCAAGGAGGTCGCCTAGGGCCTCAGAATATAAGGGGCCTCCAAATTTATAGGCCCATGTATGATGAGCCACCAAAAAAAAAAAAAAAAAAAAAATCTTATAACCAAATGCAACAAATCAAAATCTATAGGCCCATGAATGTTGAGCCACCAAAAAAAAAAAATTACAACCGAAGGGCCTCAAAAATGATGGGCCACCAAAAAAAAAAGTCTAACCAAATACAGCAAAAAGGGGCTACAAAAATAAATAAATAAATATAGGGCAAATGCAGCATATCACTTGAACAATTGAACCTCGCCTCCAACCAAATCCAAATTCTCTCTCTCTCTCTCTCTCCTCTGCAAGAGTAGCAGGACTACAACAGTGAACCGTCACTAGTAAGGAATCGTAGCAGTATTGATAGTGATCGAAGAGGATTCGAGTATAGAGCACTTTTGAATATCACTGAGTAAAGCCCTGCTCTTAGTTTCAAGATTTTACATTTTTGTTGGGAAATAAAAATTTTTCTTCCAAACTCCATCCGTCACTGTTATTCATTTCTTTCAAGGTAACTTTTTTCACTTGGCATTTTTAATTTTTTTTATTTTCCTTTAAAGTATTTTCCCAATTGAGTAGGATGATTCATTATTGACAAGTCACTATTTTTAGTTCATAAATACTGTGTTGCCTTTCCTCTTGTGGTGTTATTTTATAGTTGATAGTTTATATCTGATACATATATATATATATCTATATTTGCACATTTTAATTAATTAGCATAAGCAACCTTAATCATTAACACTTCAAAATATTTTTTGTTTAACTTTCAAAGAAAATAAAACATACAGAAGTGATCTTGTAAGAAAAGTTCCCAACATTTTGAGACCCTAATATGTAGAAGAAAACAAAAGAGTAACAAATGAGTTTGTCAAAAAATATGTATACAAAATCAGAATAAAACAAGAAATCAGTATTACCCAACCAAAACAAATTACAAATAAAAGATAAATTGAAGGTTGTACATTGCAACTAAATCACAAGGCCAATGGATTTCACATACCCTGGCGTTTGGTTGCTGAGAAAAAAATTGAAAAATGAAAAGAAGATAACAATTATGTATCCTTATGTGTGTCTTAGTGTCGATATATTTATATTAATTATATATTCATCTTTCTTTATTAAAGACCTTATAATGCAAAGTAATAGATAAGGATCAATGGCTACTGTAGGCTGCGATCACATGGGGATATTTTTGTGTATTTCTTAGTTGCTAAGTGTTGGTAAAATATATGCTTCATGTAACATTTAAGATATAACAAATCTTATACTAATATGTCATGAGATAATTAACAATATGTTAAGAAATCATTAATTAAAGATGCAACTCTATATTTAATTAAATATGCAAAATAAATTAATGAAATAATAATTATAAATAAAGAACCTGGACCGAGGCTAGTATTGAATACTATGTCCTTAAGACAGATTCGCTCTGCTATGGTGCTAACGGACTCAGTGGCGTCTATCTCCCAGGATACAACGGTCTACATTCACCAGTAACAGCACTACAAACTCATGGATACGGCGAACCTTCTCTGTGTAATACTCTCTCTGACTCAAAAATGCATCTATGCTATATAAATGCTGAATTTGGTATAATTCGAATCAAATGGTTCGGACCAATCTTAATATGGCTCGATGAAATTGGATTAGGGTTTAAGTGGTTCGGACCACTTAACCAATGGTTTGAACCCATTTGGGTTGGGTTCAAGTCTAGAGAGGGAGATAGAAGAAAATGAAAATGAACCAATTGCAAATGATCCAAAGGGGAGTATTTATAGAAACAGAAATACCTTTTCGGATTGGGTGTATCTCTTC